GAGGAGGAGATAATGCCTCCACGTTTAACACGAAATATTGACCGGCTTTGTCTTGGTGGAGGCCGTAAACGAGCATCTCTGAATCGATTGAACCATTTCTTTTCACTTTTCACCAAGTAATCTTCGATACATAGATCAGATTCTGAGTTATGGCTATTAAGATCTTCCAATTTCTTTTCGAATGCCCTGTAAAATTCGCCATTGCTGTCGGTGAAGAATGGATCCACCTTCTGGAGCTTAAAGTCTCTCTTACCACCAACAACTGATCCCAAGGAGAGAACAGAGGTAGAGCCGAAACAATTCGCAGAATCAGCCAAAGCACGACTGGGCGACAAGAAGCCTTCCATACCGGCGGGCGAAGGCGGGCGCGATTCTCCCGGAATTCTTAGTTCGTTAAAACCTGGGTGAAATGGACTCATATCGTTTCCTCGCCCTGCTTCTGCTTGCTCCCGGGTCAATGTGTATTCATCATCACCAAAATATTGTGCGACAGTGTCGTCATCGCTGTCATCATCAACATCGGTCGTCACAGCCACACCAAGGCGGTCCGGTTCGTTTTCATGGACATTCTCCGGAAGGTCCATTGGAGCCAGGATTTTCCGCAATTTTCGTGGCATGCGAGGTGCCGCTCGCGTATGACCAGGGCCAGACCGCACACCGAGAGAGAGCTTCCTGCTGAGACCGGTCGGTTGATTTTCATTGTCGATATCGGCACCTGGGCAGACTTCCTGGTGGTAAACAACAGTATTTCTCGCTTGTGGCCCAAAAGCGCTCAACCTGTTGGTGTTGATGCAACTCTGATTACGAGACTGCGACATTGGAGACACGGGGGTCATGCTTCCAAGCCCAATTGGAGAGCCCAGTATTCCGGACGAACTGTATGCAGAAGGGGTATAATGAGGTTGCCCAGTTGATTTGGCAGATTCTTTGTTATGGATCCTTATCGCTGTACTTTGAAGGATTTCCAGGTCTTCCACCCACTGGGCAACAGGAAACCTCTGTTTTGCTGACCTCGCACGCATCATGGCTCTCGTCTCATATTTCGAGTTCAGTGCACTGTCAATCGCCAATTTAAACTGATTGAGTAGATGACTAGTGGTTGTAGATTCAACGGTATACCACCAGCCCGGCATTTGCCCAAGGCCACCCACCCGTGCGCCAATGCCGAGAGCGCCTTTCCGACCAAACTCGACAGCTACCAATCCGAAAGGCTCATCCCTAGATGGAATTAAGGCAAACTCAGCGCCACTGAAAATAAACGGCGGGAGAGCAGTAAACTGAGGTCTAGAGAAAACACGGCCAGGATAAAGTTTCATCAACTTGTCAAGTTTCAATGCAGCAAACTTTCCGTAAAGGTCGATAATTGGCCCGACGCATAGTAGCTGAACATCCTTGCGTGCTTCCAGAATAGCAGGGAAAACATCGGCAATGAGGTCGATCCCTTTCTGCATCGACCAACGCCCGACAAAGACTAGCAAATCTGCATTCGGGTTTTGATCAAGACCTGCCCATTCCTGAGCTTGCCTTTTCAGCTCTAGTCGATCGGCTTCAAATTGTGGATTGACATCAATATCAGATTTGTTGGGCAATTCTCCGTTCCATTCACCAGTGTCCGATGGATCGGGGTTTGGTAGCGTGCCGACTTTCTTTAAACCCCAAAAAATCGGATATCGTGCATACGAGCGTTTGCCGTATTTCTTCGAGACGCCCACTGCTCCAAAGCCCTGCTGGTGAATACGCAGATAGCTTGCGCCAGCATGAAGCAATTGAATACTCCCGAACTGACATAGCGGATGCACTCTATGAAGCTAAACAGACAAACTCCTCCTTTCAGTCTGTGTGCGCATAGGCCACAAGCCCTGGAATTCAGCATTGTGCAAGGAAAGACAAATCGGAATCGTCTGAGGCAGGAGATATATTGGCGCAAGAGAACCGTGATAATCGTTAATATGGTACAAATCAACAGGGAATCTTTTGATCGCGAAAGCAATACATTGATTCCAAGCGGAGTAGTAAATTGCGCTGTCGAGATCATCCATACGGGCTGGATATGGCTCAGCTGAGGTTTGTTGTCGGAAAACAGGTGCGTCGAGAAGAACATAGGTGATATTCCTAACAACATGATACTGAACCTTAACCTCGTATGGATTCCCAAGCACAGTCACCGTCATAGGCTCGGCAACTTGGTCAATCGGATAATCAATTCCGCTCACACAGGGGATGACCCAGATCAGGTTCTGGTGTCCAAGATGCTCTCCCATTAGTTGAGCCATCACACCCAAACCTCCAATCTTGATTTTGATGCCCCAATCTTGAATGTGATATTCCAGGGTGGCTATTAGAGTGGTACGTCTGCTGCCCGAATCTGCAACTAGCGCAGAAGTCGACTGTAAAAATCGAGACTTGTTCGCCAGCTTAACCAGCGGATTCATAGAGTGGGATTCTTCAAGAACTCGCTTATTAAACTTCCGTCTGATAGCGAGAGGAATGAAGCCTCTTTTATCACTAATTCCGACCTGGTTAAATTTCACTTGATAAAAGGATTTCTTGAATACGTAGATACCAATCGCAGCAGTTAGAATAGGTATAACCCAGAGGAGGATATACAAGGCCAACTGGTGGTATTGATTACCGATTGGGTACAATTCGAAATGAAGTGTTCCGTCATTCAATAAAAACAGCCAAGAAAGATAGGGGTGTGGCGGGGGATTCGTAATATTTATGACAATATTCGAAAGGGAAGACGGCGGTAAGCGATCCAACACAGAATCGCCATCTATGTCACCAAATACGAATGTTTGATCCGGTTTGCCATCTGGGTTAATTCCCCAAACATTGACTTGAGCTAACGCTGGCCACTCCGTCATGAATCTGAATCGCCATATCCCCTTATCATCCTGCACCATATGGTTTCTGAGTCCAGCATCATAGCCATATTGGTTATAAGGGCCGTTCCAATAAAGATGAGGGAATCTTCGTGGTTTGTTGTGAGGCCAATCAAGGTCACCATGTTGGACATGGGAACTACTTCCTGTCATACGATTCCAATATTCAACAATAACATGTTCGCCTTTCCACCTTTGCAATTTCGTGCCTGACCAGGGCTGGCGTTCGAGAGTAGTGTTGCCACCCGTGTAAGGTAACCAATCCGAAAACGATGAACCCCAATTTAAGGAATACCTGTAAAGGTCCGCCCCAGCGGCGTGATGAGACACGTATAGGCTACCTCTTTTGTCCGTATGTAGAAAACTCGATGAGTAATTTGCCGCTCGAGTGAAAACCATAGGGTTGTCTGATTGCCCAATGCGGAAAAGGAAATGATCCATCGAAGACGTATTGGTGCGGCGGTCAGCGCTTAGGGCATCCTTGATTGATAACTGATGTACTCCATTGTAAACACCAACGAGAGTGGCAGACCATCGCCAGAAATTCGGGAGTTCACCAATGTATTTCGTTGGTTGGGGGTTGAGGCTTTGACACTGGACAGTACTATAGTCAATGGATGGTATTTTACCATTATCCGTGGTTGAATTGAGTGTAATGCTCGCGGTCACGCTATTACAATCCATCGCTTCGGAGTAATAAAGCTCAATGGGAACTCTTTCATCTTTATCGGGAGAAACTGTCGATAGCAGGCGCGCATCGTGTCCGGGAGAGAACTTTGTGACCATAGGACGTGGCCGAATGAATCTCTCCCTAGGAACGTAGGCTCTAAAATCCCACGGTTTCAATTCGAGGCTGTCAAGGCACCCATTGAATTCCCGAGATTGCTCAATCCCCAGCTTCTTGGGGCCTCTTTTCAGAGTAAGTTCATCAAATGGGAAGAACAAATTTTTGACAGTAGTGCCGCTATCAAAGTTAGATATTAGAGCTTTTTTTTCGTCCGAGCAGTCGAATTCGTACTTGTGGGTTTTGTTGTAGTTTTGATAAACAAGCCAAACCGGGAGATTTGATTCTTTGCCAAAATCTTGGGCAGTCTCAAAACGACCACGGTGGACGGACCACATTCCAGTCTCTGTCGGTGTATTATTTGAGCCGGGAAGAAAAATTTGCCACGTTTGGTTTGAAAGTTGCTGAATGAAAAATCCATCATTCAACGTCCGGTAGTTCTCCCTCATTTGATACATTGTTTTCAAAATATTGCGTACTGGGTGAGATGGATCTCGGTGGTCATAACTAACCGTCTCGTCATGGCACCCATATTTACCAGATTCAATGGGCCATTGATAGTATTGCTGAGAGCCGAGCTTGTAGCAACCATGAGTTTGCCAAGCTGTTGCTGGAGACATGGCCTGCCGACCGAAGATATAGTTCTGAGCGGTATTGTCCAAAACGTAGAACGCTTGTTCTTCACCCCAAAGCAGTAATGGGATGCCAGGTAGGTGAAGTGTGGTAATATAGAATGCTAACAACATTCTCTGCGTCCCTTCTCTAATTGTAGGCCAGCGGAAAACATCCTGATTCGTTGCCCCGAACATATGGCGCGGATCAAAGTGCCCTTGGGAATTAACGAAGTCATTTGTGAGGATCATTTCATTCCAAGCATCTACCCAGTTAACGGGGGTGTCAAACCCCGCGGCAAGGTTACCGTCCATACCAAGGAACCGGGTCAAAGAACGATAGACCGAATAGTGGAATGCACCAGCATCCAGCGCAGATTTACCCTGCTCGCGGATGAAATAATTTTCGTTCGACCTGTGCGTCATCTTTACTGCGGCCTCCAATGAATCTGGCAGCATGTTCGGTTGACGTCCTCGCCCGATATATATAGCCCCAAGAGTATTTCCGCCCGTGATTTCACCAGGAAGAAAGAAGTTGTGTTTCCCCAGGCTCCTGGCACATTCACGATAGTGCTCGCTCATATCCCCTAGTGCGTCGACTGTAGCCTGCAGGGCTTTGTCATAGCGGAACCCATCAATATCAAGCTGTCGCATCAGAATACACGAGTGTCTCATGAGCCGTTCCCTGACAGAAGGGATCCATTCACGGAGACGGTCTTGCACTGAAGCGAATTTTGAGAGCTGACGTTGCCAATCCGGGTAGACTCCAAAAGCTTCGATGTCACCGTATTGATCAAAGTCGCTATCATAGCAGCCAATCAGTTGGTCGGTAACATCAGTGCCGACAGGGTAACCATTTTCCCAATAAAACCTTGGATAATCACAGGTCTCATTGTATTCGTTGCCGATACGGAAATCCGCGTATCGACGGCTAGACTTCCAAACCACCTGATGCTCGTTGGTGTCAAACGGTGTTGTACCATTCAAATGTCCTTTGAAGCCGATAAGGTCGCCCAAGCTATTGTAACGGATCAGCATACTTATTTATTTTCGCCAAGAGCAAGTGACGCTATCAGGTACTTACGTCGCCAATGTGTTATCCATGATAACGTACATGCCGCGCCTATGAATTTCAGTGATAGTCATTCTAAATGATTCAATAGTGCCAAAATGCTGATCAAGAAGAGTAGTATCAAGTGCGGAGTAACCATCTGCGCCCCAAGGCTGATTAATTAAAATCGTTCCGGCGAGATAGATGCCCTTCATGAGCTTCTGTTAGCAAGTTCTAAAAAGTCCACAAGGAAATCTGATAGCTCCAACATACCTTTATTCCCATGCCCTGGAGATAATCTAACGTATCCATCAGACCAGCTACATCTCCCCCGTGACGCATCTGATTCGAGTTCAAATCATGTTCGTATGATGTGCCATTAATGTTGTCATTTGTCGGGTCGCCATTCACAAATCGATCTAGGAACAAGCTGTAGAATGGAAAGCGCCAGTTATCCGGCGACGGGTGGTATTGATGTCCCGACCATTCTCCGTAATAGTCTGCGGGGCTTATGGCGGATTTATTTTCGTTGAGGTTATATCCCTCAAACTGCGGATCATACGGCCAACTCGTTGCTCTAGCAGCGAGAAGTGCCAGCAAGACTCCCACCAACCACCGCCGCATCATCGATAATGACAGATAATTATGCCACGATAAACCCTAACATATGCCGCGAGAATACAAGAAGCGCGAAACGAGTGGAATGGTAGTGGGAAAGCGAGAGTATTGCCTGATCAATAATCTGTGATATTGTATCAAGCTCCCCAACTTCCAGCGCTGGAATAAGCTGGGAATTACGGGATAAGAACGACAGCGAAACGACCGAAAATGACGAAGAAAACGACAGTATGTTGGAAAGTCAAGGCAAGGAAAGAGGAAAGAACAGACTTTGGAGAGAAAGAGAGTCGGCCCGGTTGGAATTACCAAGGCCAGCTTTGGGGCAAAACTTCCAACTTGGAAAAGGGAAAAAGCTCCACCTAGGTACTAACGCCTCTGTCATTCCTTGGTCCGCGATATTCTGAAACTTTGACTATTTGTCTGATACCGAAAATAGAAATCTATCTGCCAAGCCGCAGAATCTCGCCTCATATACTTTTTCAGCCAGCGAGAGAACTGGCAAACTGCAAAGCTTTTTGCCATTGCGATGAGTAATCGGGGCTTAATGAAAACCCATTCGATTCCTCCATATTCTTGGGCCAAGACATAAACATTGAAGACCTTGAGGAACTCGAATATAACCCACCTTCGTAGACATGTGCGGTAAATCAACGACACCACATAAGAACTTCATATCCACGGCCGATTATTTTACCTTCTCAACTACTTGCAAAAGTTTGACTTGCTTCTGTAAGTTGAAGAATTGTTGTTTTCGCATGGACTGAGTGCCGGACCTTCCTGGCGCACACACTCACGTATATATATATATATATATATATATATATTTATACATTATCGTGGAGGGCGAAATGTGGTGACGGCCACTCAGAGAATGAATAAGCAGTAGCAGATGTTGTCAAAAAGTCTGCTAGATATGACGACTCCCAAAAGAATCGAGTCTCGCCATTTTTTCTCTTTTACCTATTTTTTTCTCATTCATCGGTGATCTGTTTCCCACACCTTTGCTTGAGCATCTGCGGACAGAGTTTACACCTAAGGTGACGTCCATGACGCAGATTGGTCCGCAAACGCCAGCACAGAACCAGGGACCAGTTGGGTGGGGTGTGTCCCCTTGTTTGGTAGTATGAGGCTCAGGAACCGCTGGCAGGATTGGAACCAAAGTAACATATTGTCGAAGTTTGTTATGTCTCTGGACATAAGCCGGAACATGCGCAAGTCAAATACATAGGCGGCAAATTGTTGTGCCTTCTCGCTTCCCCTTGGCAGCTCGCTGAAAATCAGACGAAAAACACGTAGGAGCCAATAACGTAATAATAATAACGATGGTGATAGTGCTATGGGAGTCTTCGAACAATCATTCTGTATTATCGTCCTCATTGTCGACCTCGTTGAGGTGGAGTTGACTTTAAGTTGTGATGGCCCCGAATTTGACAGCTTGGCATCCGATTCGGGACTAGCTGTATGTAAACGCCTGACACAGTTTCAGCTTTTTATTATTCAAGGAGCCATTTCCAACTATGTACAGTACAATGAAAAATGGAGCTAGTTTACGGAGTATTGTTTTTCAAATTCAGCGGAGCTGTACAGCGTAGCTCAACTCTTCTAGTGTATTGTGCGCCCCAAGGGTTTATTAGTTGGATGCACCAGCTCAAGTATCTACTCCGTACTATGTACACTTTGTGGCTTAGTTTGCTTGAGCCGCGCAATGACAGATGATTCTTGAATCTTGGTCCGCCACTTAATGAGTACTGCGCTCAGGCACCAACCACCAATAATTGGCTAGTGGAGTCCTAGATATTGATCCGCCCACATGTATCATCCTATGGGAAATTTTGTACTGGAAGTCCCAAGTTTCAAATTGCTAATCGTTAATAAAAGCTCATACAACACACTCGCTTCGTTAAGAATCCCATATGCTAGGCTATCAATATCGGAGCTGAGAAAAATACATCCTTCCATGTTCAGGGCTTTGCTCTTCGGGGTATTAAAAACCATATGTACTGTACAACTGGCCCACCTGTGTTTGAATAACATCAGTGTGCTTCTTCTTCTTCTTTTTTGATAGGAGCATTTTGATATAAGAAGAGTTTAAAAAAAAAAAAAAAAAATCATTCTTGATTGCCTTAATATTTCAGACCTCGCAGCCGTTTGACAAGATCGTTCTTAAAGTTACTTTACTATTAGAATTGTAAACGAGGGACATCAACTCTCGTGGAAAATACGTCTGCATATCCAGTCCGACTCGATGGCGCACAAAGGACTCTCAATGAAAACAATCCAGTATCACCCCGACAACCTCTATGATTGCCCGCATCAAAGATGGTTGATCACATAAAGCTTTGCTAAGTCTTCCAAGGAAGACTTAAATAGCACTTGCCTCTCTTTTCTCTCGCTGGGTGGAACTTGTACAGTGCCAGGTCACAAGTATTGGCATCCCTCACCACAATCGTTTGCCCCTTTGTGGCAGATAGCTACGGGGGTTGCCCATACTTATGGCCTAGTATGTGTACATCAAAAAGCCGTAGTCCCGCAAGTTGTACCTAGAAATTTAACTCAACTGTGGGGTGGGTCGGGGGTTTGGGAAGCAAGTCCAGAAACTAATTAAAACTAGGCCAAAAATTTCTTTACAATAAGGTTAGATAACTAGGTCTAGATCCATTTCAAAAGTTAGCAGCAAGCTCATTGG